CATTATTCCTCCCTTTTAGTCACAAATTTCGCTGCTCGAGGTTTTGTGATTCCATATGAATTTGAACAGTATTGGTTCCATTTTGTTGAGGAACACCATTGAAATTTTCATTGAAATTGCACTGAATCTGTAAATTGCTTACAAATAGGAAGTCCCATCTAGGATTGTTACTTTTTTCCAGTTATGGAACATTCATAAAACAGAGTGTTAACAAAAAATGTATGTGTTGGGCCTCCCCAGTGGCGCAGCGGTTGAGCGCTGGGTTGCGAAGCTGCCCGCAGCCTCTGCAGCGCCGGTTCGATCCCCCGCTGCTCCCGGGCCACCAGAGGAGTGGCCCACATGGCGCGCAGACCTCTCCTGCCCGCCCGCTGCTCCCCTCAGCAGTGTACTTCGTTCCTTCTACCTGCTCTGCTCCCCGCTCTGGCTCTGGTGAATTCTCTCACCCTCCTGCGCTCCCGACTGTACCAAGTACTTGTATAAATAAATAAATAAATCTTTTTAAAAAATGTATGCGTTATTTTCTGTAATGTCTAAAAAGGTGTTATTTTCTGGGGTGGAAATGTTGGTGAGGATATCCATTTTGTGGGGCCTGTGTGCAGTTCCATTTCAACATTGCTCAAATGGGTTGATACTAGAACATCTGTTGCCATTTTTGCTACCTTGAAAGTCACCATGTCACAAACAATAAAGGTCACAGATAGACATGGCAATAGCCGTCTGCTCTGTGTCAGTGACTTCCTTTCATTGACAGTGGACAAAATTCATTTAAAGGGTATGTTTTTAGCCAAACAGAAAATCCCCTTTTTAAAAAATGGGAGTTAAATATTGTTGGCATTCTTTGGTTCCTTGAATGCCTCTTGCTATTCCCAGTGTTTTTTTTTTTTTCTTTCTTCCTTTTCTTTGCACCCTCTTCATTTATGATACTTCTGACCTTGTGTAACAGAGTGGTCCCCAGGAAAGGGGGAGGTTCCATGTTTCCTGGCCCACCCAAGGGAGGGTGGAGCTGAGCAGGGAGAGAAGAAGCTGCAGAGGAGACTGAGGAAGGAAGCAGAATGGAGCCAGAAGGAGACCTGGAGGAGGCACATGGAGCCTAGAGACACGTGAAGAAACTGTGCTTGTCTTTTGGTCGTGGACGGGGTGACACAGATGTGGGTGAGACCCGTAGGGAGGTGACAATGGCAGCTTTTATCTTGATTTTGATTTTGCTCTTTTCCTTCCGGGCTTGTCTGGTTGTTTCTGACCCTTTTCTGTGGGTCCCCCAGGGAGATGCTTTAGACTTGTGGCAGGCTTTGGGGCCTTACTCTGGGCCAATCCCATTTGAAGGGAGTTTTACCCACGAGGGAACGGATAACTTTGGGTGCTTGATTTAGAAACCAGATTCTTTGCCTTTCCTGTATTGTTTCCTAATTGTATTAAAGTTCCTTCCCATTAAAGTCTCATGTTTTGTGTTAATGCGGTGGATGGCAGAACCCTATATAGAATAGGCAGGTTTGCAGGGTTTGGGCTGCCCCTCTCTCTGTCCTGTAACACTTGTACGGTTTACAAGTTTACCGAGAAATAAAACTGAGACACAGGGCAAGTTAGGGTAATTAGGCAGTTTTAGGGACACTGCAGGAGGGGACCTCGGAGAGTTGAGGAAGGCTTCAGAGATAAGGGAAGCAAGAGGAACGTAACTAATTCCACTAGGAAAAACAAACATCCCAGGACTAAGGACAACATTGTTAATGCTGGCCTTGGTTTCCTTCAAGTGATAAAGGGAGGCAGAGATTGGGGAAATGGAGAGTGGTTTAATTTATGGACAAATTAGAAGGGCAGCTGATTAACTTCAATGCAGGGATGCCCATCTGGAGGACTGGGCCATAAAGATAAAGATGCAACAAATGGGGAAAGACAAACCTGTTAGATAAGGAATGTGAAGATCCCCGCTAAGTAGCAAATTAAGTGAGACAGCCGAGAACTAACCAATCACAAAGAGACTGGTGGAGCTTTAGAATAATTAGGGAAAGAAGGTATATATTCTCTGAGACACAACTCCACTTGGGCTTCCTTGCCCCTCCCTGGCCTGGTTTCCTGGCCTGGGAGTCCCACTTTATTTCTGTTCCTTTTCTCCTCAATAAACTTTTTCTTTCTCTAAACAAACCTGCCTCTTCTCACTTGCTTGCCTGAGAGTCTGCGAAGTTCCTGCTGTGCCTTCGTGAGACACCAACCCGTGGGGGTCTAGTGGCTGGGACTCAGCGCTGCCCCTGCAGCCTGGGATCTGTTCCTGGCTGGGAGACTAGGCCTGACAATTCCGGTATCAAAACCACTGTTGAACTACCACAAGTGAATCAATAAAAATCTTGATACTGCCAGCTTTCCTGTCAATGATGGAACCTCTGCTGAAATAACCATGTTTTCACTTGTAGGATGAGACAGAAAATAAAAGTGTTCTGTTAGGCAGGACACTCGATTTATATCGATCTGTGACAAGTTGACTTGGAATACAGGATTTTCAGTCTATTATGTTCTATATTTCTTTTTGCAAAGGCAATGAAATAATCACAGGAAGGTTTTATCAGTTATTTCAAATTTTGTTTTATGGAATGTCATTGATCCATTCAAAATTTTGTCTTTTTCTTCCCATAGTTATGCACAACTTTCAGGCCTCTTGTATTTATTTTGTAAAATTTTTATTTATTTATGCATACAAGACTGGGGTTGTAGGCCAGAGATGCAGTGAAACTCTTCTGAGGGGAGCAGCAGGCGAGACAGGAGAGGTCTGCTGCACCATGTGGGCCAGCTCCCAGGCTGGGGATGGAACCTGTACCACAGTGGCTGCCAGTAGCTTGATAGTGCTGAGACTTATCGCGAGTGGGATTAATTGGCTTCAGTCAGAAGTTGGCTCTCAAAGAGAATTTTATTACTGTATTGTTCACATACACACACATTCACATAGGCAAGGCAACCCGAAGTTCCCAGAGTAGCTCTGACTGAAGACAGTAGCCACGACGTGTCTTAGCCGGGCCTTCCACCCAGGGGAAAGTCCTCCGGCTGTGGAAGTCTCTAGGCTTGAGGGCCCAAAGTCCGGATGGTCCCTAGGATGTTGAGCCGGTCTGCAGCATGTGCTGCTGTCAGAGAGCAGGCCGCCGGTTTGTGGGAGGAAGAACCGGGGAGTGAGGCTTGGTTCATGGTGTGCCAAACTGAGGATTGAGGAGAGGTTCTGGCTGGAGAACAGTCTGAGTCCAAAGAGGAGCAGCAAGCTGGACTCGGAAGAGGAGCTTCTGGAAAGTCCTTAGCTCAGAGCCAGGTTTGGGACTGCTCAGAGACTGCTTCATGAATCCACTCCTTTTATGCATCCTTATCAGGTTCAGGCTCAGGCACCATCTATTTTCATCATCTTTAACATTCAGGATGTGGAGGCAGCCCCATGCACTCACGGCGCTCGCAGACACCTTAGCCTACTCTTAGTTTCACTCTTAGCCTATGTATTTATAGTGCTTGTAAGCTTTTTATGTTGATTACATGCTTAACCCCTTGCACTCGGAGGGAGATCCCAGACCTCTTGTATTTGAGGCTGGAAGGGTCTGGGCTTTGAATCAGTGCCTTATTATTTTCACTGTTTTTTTTATTTTTACCTATAACTAGATGAAACTTGTTGATTAAAACAATAAATATTGTAAAAATTGAAAAAGGGTAAAATGTGCTCATTTGGACTGACAAATTAGTTCAAGCTAAAAATTGAAAAACTATTGATGGAATTCAGGTGATGGGGTTCAGTGTGGGGGGAATTCTTGGATCCTCTGACAAATCATTCAGTAATGTTCCCTTTCATCAGCACATGGCAAGGTGATTGAGGAAAAGAGAGCAGGAGAGAGAGAAGTCTGCACAGACTCAGATAGGCTCTGAAAGAACAAAAGCTGCATTTTGCCAGGGTAAGGGGTGTTCTTTCATAATGTTCTGTGATGGAATGAGTGTGGAAATTATTGCCTTGGGGTCAGAATGGGTGGGTCTTCTAAGTTTGATAATCCTCTCTGCCCCCACCTCTGGCTGGTCATCTTTTCTGACGACACCTTAGATTGCTGGAACCTTCCACAGGTGGGTTAATAAAGATTTATATAGATTGCCCTTATGATATCTCCCTCAGTAAAAACAAAAAACAACAACAAGGTGAACTTGACATTAACTGATATGCTGCTGCTCTTCCCACACCTGCTTTACTATCAGGAAGACAATATTTTCACCCTTAGAAATTTTTCTATAACTGCAACAGAATTTTTAAGGCTTTCTTTAAAAAAATTCTATGGTGGGCCGCCCTGGTGGCGCAGCAGTTGGTTGAGCGCTGGGCTGCGAGGCCTGCAGCGAGGGTTGGATCCCCAGCCATCGGGCGAGGGTCCCACATGGCACGCAGACCTCTCCTGCCATGCCGGCTGTGCCCCTCAGCAGTGTATTACATCGGTCTGCCTGTTCTACTCCCCGCTCTGGTTCTGGTGAATTCTCTCACCCTCCCCCGCTTCTGACTGTACCCAGTGCTTGTATAAATAAATCTTTTTTAAAAATTCAACTATTTCTTTTAATACAGACACACACATATATGTAATATCCCAAATGCTAGTATCTAAATCCAGAGTCCCCGCAGAAGGGCGATACCGACTTGTTCTCTTCTCCGAATGAGCGAGAATCCCTATTTCAGCGGGTTCTTGCCTCCACGTCATTCTATCTCCCCATCTTCAGGGCTCTGACGTCACACACTCCCGCTCCCTGCTCCCCCTCTGAGCGGCCCCCCACGGCTCTCGGCTCTCCGGGCTGCGTTCCCTCCTCGCCCGGCCGACCGCCCCTCGGTCCCCCCTGCGCCTCCCGCCGGCCCTCGCGCCTCCGCCCGCCAGTGTCCCGCCTCGGCCGCGCGCGCCGCTGCCCCGCCCCTGGGCACCCCCGCGAGCCTCTCCTTCTCGGCCTTGCCCCGCCCCCTGCGCGTGACGTCCCGTCCCTACGCGCTGACGCGGGAACGGCGGCGGGAGCGGAAGTGGCTGAGCCGCGGCCTCCAGCCGCGCCCACCCAGGCGGAGCGGGCCCGCTGGCCGTGGAAGGAGAAGCCCCGGGGGCAGAGTACAGGAGGCGGGGAAGTGCGGGGAGAAGCTGGGCAGGTCAGGGGAGGGTGAGGACGCCTCCCTGCCCGCGGCTGACGGCCGAGCGGTGAGTCAGGGGACCCGGGGCGGGGCGGGCTGTGGAGAGCTCTGCGCGGGTCATTGGGGTCCTGGAGGAACATGGGGGTCAGGACATTCCCGAGTGTGACCCTGAGGGTGCGCGGCGCCCCTGAATGAAAGCGCATCCCCCGTGTTTGCTCCCAGCGCCGCCCTGCTGCACCGATCAACCCCCGGATGGGTTTTCTGGGCTCTCCGTTCTGTTCCATTGATCTGTGTGTTTTATCTCTGTGGACTTAGGACATAATTTGGAGAATGTAAACTTTTCTGGGGCTGACATCCCCCTCCCCACGCCAGGTCCAGCAGGCGGGAGGGCAGAGCCGAGTCCCAGTCTCCCGGGGTGCAGGTTCTTACCCAGTAGGTTGCGTGGTGCCTGGGGCTCTGCATTTCTCACGGGGTCTGAGATGCTGCCCGTGCTGGGCCTGGGCCCACGTCTGAAGGGTGAGGCATCACTTACCTGTTGTGCAGCTGATGTGGCCAATCAGAGCCTGGAAGAGGGAACTTTGACACCTAGAAACTGCCTCATGAGGCGACTTCAGACTCCCCTTGAATAGAACCAGGCTTTCCTGAGCCTTGAGTGACCAAGAGCCACACGGCTGCCACACTCTGGCTACAATGTCTGCTTTTCCAAAATGGGTTTGTAGTCACCATTTCAGTGTATTGAAACCTGTGACCATCTCTTTATCACTAAAGGACACCCCCGAGATTCCCACAGCAGGGATAGCTGGATGCTATCACCAATGGGGATGGAAGGTCCTTCATGGGAAATCATCTGAGACACTGAAGGGCCCGTTCCTAAGCTCTTGAGGTCTTTTCTCTACTGATACCTGGCCCTAAGAGGATCCCTCCTGTATTAGAGCGTGAATAAGCCACAATCACTCATTCTCCTGGGAAGTGGATAATTTTGTCGATAATTTTGTCGATAATCTACTTTTTAATATTTATAATCTGTTAAACTGATATTACCTCCTCCATCATAAATCCTGTTATGCTTGCTTTGGAGAGAGTTGAACAGGTCAGGGAAGGGGAAAGAAATCGATGTTTATTGAGCACCTGCTGGAGATTACCTGACCCTGTGCAACAAGTTCATTACTTAAGTTATGTGATCTCACTGATGGCACTGTACAGACATTATTCCTGCTCCGTAGTTGACAATCTGAAGGTCCAAAGGAGACAAGGAACTTGTGTTAAGATCATACAAATAAGGACAAAAGTTGGGGATTTTTGGACTACATATTTTTGGCTAAATCAGAGAGTGTCAAATGAGGCTAAACTATAAACCCCCTGAAGGCCAGCAGGAGGGGAGGAGTGTGGGCAACCCTGTCCATCCTCAGAGCAGCTCCGTGGGTGTTGGGCTTCCTCCTTCATAAGGAAAGAGCCTCAGGTTAAAATAAAAGTTTAATGTATAATTGCGTTACATGCAGATGCTGTCTTTAATGTTGCACATGATTTCCTTAATAGTTTTAGAAATAGCTCTAATCCCAAATGTGATTGCTACTCATAGGAGACTGCATTTCAAAATAGTGTTTTCTGTAATTATTCCCATACAGCAGGCTTAGCTGCTGTACCTCCCGGAGGGAATTCCTGGAGATCTACAACAATTGATAAGAAAGCAATGCCTCAGCAGTGCCTGCAGTATTATTCGGGATAAGACCCCCCCCTTTGATTGTTAATGATTTGATCTATCTCATCTATATAAGAGGGAAACACAGTAGAAGCAGTGACTGGTGTCCTCAGGATGTTGGTTTTCATGGTGATTGTTTTATTGTTCATGTTTCCTCTGTTGACAAGTTTTTCAGTGAACTTGTGTCATTTTGTGATTAGATTTTAAAAAGGTTATTTACATAGTTCTAAAGTTTAGATTCTTGCACATTGCTCTTAGTAATTTTCAGTATTGAAGAGCACACATCCATTCTCTGAAATGATCTCGATTATGTTTGTCATTCCGATGAACCGAATGTGAAGTTGGGTGTGAAGATGTATGTCCTACTTTAACAAAATGCCCTGGAAAGCGAGGCAGCGCTCCCGCCTGCCTGTGACTGTGCAGGTGTTTCTTTTCACAGACCTTTTGCGTTTGCAGCTCTCTCTGCCCGCTGGTATCTGTGCACTGTCCTGTACTCACCTTCACTTTTAAATTGTCCTTTGGATATAAACAAAATACAAAACAATTTTCTGGAGATAAAAATAGGCCTATTTCATCGTGATACATGTTCTTAAACATATTGTGACAAACGTTTCTCTATCCCAGCACCAGCTGTGATCACCTCCTATCTTCATCAGGTTTGCCATAGTGGGGGTAAGGCCAGCTCCAAACAGCAGCCTTAGCAAAATAAATTTCTTTGCTTTAATAGGCGTGCTTACATTGCACCAAATAAAAGGTGGTGCAGGCACACCTTGAAGATATTGTTGGTTCATTTCCAGAATACCACAACAACCCTAATATTGCATAAATAAGGTCATTACTTTTTTGTTGGTTTCCTGGTGTGAATGAAAATTGTTTGCTCTATAGTGTCGTCTATTAAGTATGCAGTAGTATTTTGCCTAACGAGAAAATAGCCTAATTAGATATCACCAAGACATGAGGTGAGCATATGTTTTTTGGGAAATGGCGCTGCTGGACTTAGCCCAGTCCAGGTTGCCACACACCTTCAATTTGTGAAAAGCAGTATCTGATAAAGCAAAGCAAGCAGGATGGGGTGTGCCTTTATAGACACTTCTGAGAACAATCCTTTGGGTTTTAATAAAGTATACACATCTGGATAAGTGGACTTCAATTTAATGATGATGTTTATATGTAACTATTTTTTTCAGCGGTTTTGTCAGCACGGGAGGGTGTGTATTCTTTTCCATGATAGAAAGTACTCTGAACACTCAAGATAGTGAACAAGGATTAGCTAAATGCCTACAGTCTGCCAGGGACTGGGCTATACACATAGCCTCTTTAGAATTTATTGTGGTCTTTTAAAAATGTCAAAAACTTATAGCTATCATTGGTTGAATCTCAGTGGTAAGTAAAAATAGGGAGTTTAGTTTTTATTATGCTATTGAACAGCTACAGAGGAAGCACATATGACTTGGCTTCTGCCTAAGTTCTTCCCCAGGCTGTAAATCCATGTAGACGTCTGCAGTGAGGTAGCCAGTACTCCCTGCCACCACACTCTGATCCTTTTGCTCCCCAAACTGGACATTACTGTTGACATTCGGGATCATGGTACCATTGCTGTGCTTTATTGCTTTGAATCATTGGTGTTTTGTTATTTATTTTTTTAAAACATTTATTTATGCACAAAAGATCTAGGGCACAGGCCAGAGAAGCTGGGGGTGGGAGGACTCACGAGAGACAGAGCAGGGAACAGAACAGGCAGACCAATTGAAATACACAGCTGAAGGTAGCAGCAGGTGAGACCAGAGGTCTGCCTCGCCAGGTGGGCCACCCGCTGGCCGGGGATCAAACTCACGCTGTGGAGGCTGCGGACCCACTCATAGTGCGGTGCTCAACCCCCTGTGCCACACCAGGGTGGCCCTAGATTTATTTTTTTAATATTTTATATAATTCTTACAACATTCCTATTTTTATTTTTATTTATTTATGTATGCATTTTTATTTATTTATGCATACAAGAACTCTACCCATTTCTAATTCAAAGTTTGTTTTTCTTTTTGTTTAAATATTTATTTTTGTGTAGAAGATCTGGGGTGCAGGCCAGCAGTGTTGGGTGATGAGAGGATTTACCAGGGACAGAGTGGGGAGCAGAACAGATGGATCTACTGAAATACACTGCTCAGGGGAGCAGCGGGTAATACAGGAGAGGTCTGCTGTGCCCTCTGTGAGTCAGCTCCCTGACTGGGGATCAAACTTAGGCCATATTGTGGGCCATTGTGGTGATAGTGGTGAGACTTAAGCCCTGGTCTACCAGGGAGGCCCTCAAAGTTTGTTTTGATGTTGAATAAGCATAATTATTTGTTGAGCTCATTTAATGTTACAGAATACTAATATAGATGTTCAAAAGTTAGTTTTGAAGGTGCACAAAAAATATTTTCATTATGGATCTGATGGTGGGTATTGTCTCAGGGGCTTGTAAATGTTATCTCTGAGACCTGTGGAATTGGTCATATTCTTTAGATGCAGACTTTACTATTTGAGGCCAATTGAAAAATTGGCATTTTTTTTTAATTTTTTATTTTTATATTCCCCATACAATTGCAACCCCCTTATTTTGAGCCTAATCCCTCCCCTCCTGCCCTCTACCCCCCCATAGAGTGTTTTTGTTAATTTTGATTTTCACTTTCTTATAGTTATTCATTTTCCTGGTCCCTTATTTAAGTTTTCTAGATTCCTGCTATGAGTGAGACCATCCGGCATTTTTCTTTTTCTTTCTGGCTTATTTCGCTGAGCATGATCCCTTCCAGCGCCATCCATGTTGCTGCAAATTGCATGTGTTTATCTTTTTGGAATGCTGAGTAATATTCCATGGTGTATATGTACCACATCTTCTTGATCCAGTCATCTATTTGGGCATTTGGGTTGTTTCCAAAGCTTAGCTATTGTAAACAGTGCTGCTATAAACATAGGGGTGCAGGTGCTCTTTGGAATTGATGTTTCTGTGTCCTTTGGGTAAATACCTAGGAGTGGAATGGCTGGATCATATGGGAGCTCTATGTTTAGTAGGTCCAAAAATCTCCACACAGCTCTCCACAGTGGTTGGACCAGTTTGCACTCCCACCAACAGTGCAGAAGAGTTCCTTTTTCTCCACACCCTCGCCAACATTTGTTGTTGCTAGTTTTTTTTAATATGTGCCATTCTCACTGGTGTAAGGTGGTATCTCATGGTAGTTTTGATTTGCATTTCCCTGATTACAAGTGATGTTGAACATTTTTTACACTTGATCTTAGCCAAAAGGCCGAGAAGCTATGTTGAACATTTTTTCATATGCCTGTTGGCCATTTGCATTTCCTCTTCAGAGAAGTTTCTTTTTAGCTCTTCTGCCCAGAAAAATTGGCATCTTTGATAGAATGGAAGATGTAGTGATCATTTAATTTTACATTAAATAATTTAGAATATTATAATAGCTAATATTCAGAATCATCTAGAATAATTGGAGAGCTGAGTCTGTGTGGGTGACTGTGGCATTATTTTCTCTCTGAGTCCAGTATAATGTATGTGCTATTGCTTGGAAATCCACAGTGGCCACTTTGTTTTGGTGGGTTTCGAGTGAACCTCCTCTGCTGTTTGTTCCCAATATTTGGTGTTGAGTTTTCATGGTTTCCATATTGTGGAAAATGAGCTAAGGTCATACATGTAACAACACTAAAAGTAGCCTTTCACTTGGGTCTGCAGGTAATGAATTTTGTAGAACAACTTGTAGGGTGCTTATTCATCATTAGTGTACATGGAAAAATGGTGACATTTGCAGTGGCAGGTGCCTGTTTTCCTTAAGTCCTGGAAGAGAACAAGAAGAATCTTTACAATTCAAAAATTATAGTTTTGGGATCAAGAATTTTTATACAAGCTAAGCAGGCTGAGGTCTGAGCATCCCTAACATACAAATGCTACGTCCATGTTCAGGGAAGATATTCTTTTCTGTTTGCAGTGTATCTGGGTGTTTCTGCTGAAATGAGTAAGTCTCATGTGGCCCTGTGTGAACCACCGATATTAAAGAATCTGTAGACGGTACCTTAGTTAGGATTGCAGGAAGATCATCAAGGGTTAGAACGAGTGCTCATCGTGTATGTTCACTTCAATGTCTGTAATGAAACCTTGCAGGTTTCACTGATTAGGGATGAAGAAGGTTGTGGCTGACACCCCAGGCTGCCAAAGCTGCTGCAGCCTGTGTGCTCATGAACAAAAGGGCACTGAGAAGCCAGTGTCTTGTCTTAAGTACCTTCCTGTGTGGAACTCAGAACCCCAAGGAAACGGGTGAGTGTCTGAGTTGATGCCTGGTGAGCAGCAGACCAGGTCAGCTTGCCAAGGAGCGGCCCTCAGCCGTGTTCCTCTGACACCTTGGGATCACAGAGCTGTAAGCAAGAGGCAGGTCTGGAGTTGTGGCTGCCTAGGCCTTTTCCTATCAGAATAGCATCTGACAATCATATTATTTACTCTCTCAATGACATCTTTTCGAAGTGTGCTTGCCTGCCGTGCAGAAGCTCTTTGCTATGCTATGAAGTTGAGTTTGTACCTTGATTCTTCCATCCCCTCGACAGATCAGGTGGGCACTGCTGACGCCTCTCCCCTGGGGTGGCCACTTCCTAGTCCTGCCAGTTGCTCTTCCTGCTGTTTGCTCAGGTTGTCTCCAGAGTGTGCTGACTCAACACAAGTTTTTTTCATTAGTCCCATGTGTCTTCTCCTTCCTCCCTTGTTTGGGGTGCTACAAGGATACAGAAGTACCTTCCTCCAATCCTATCATCGAGACATTCTCCGTGGCGGCAGTAGTGACTGGAATAGGGTGAAAACTGATTGTTGGAGACAGAGGAAAGGCTTTGTGTGTGTGTATGTGTGTGTATGTGTGTGTACGCGCACGCGTGTGCAGGTGCGCGCGCACGAGCGAGCAGGCGAGTGAGCGAGCGAGAGAGATATGTATACATATAGTGCATCAACAGATAGTTACCTGTGGCATTAAAATTTCCTGATGATTAGGGCAAACAGCTGCTTTTTATTTCTTTCCCCTTTTATTTTACTTCCTAAACTTGAGATAGTTTAATTTTTTCATTTGCTAGTACTGCCGAGCTAATGTTCCTTTTTGAGAGTCTAAAGTATTTATTGCTTGTACATAATGGAGCTTTTTGTGTCCTTGGTTCTACTGCAAAGGTAGCATCAGAACCTTGAAGAAGACTGACCGGTAGACAGGAGGAAACGCTGGCAAGGGTGAGGGGAAGGATGGACTCTCGTTCACTCCCGAGGAAAGAATCGCTGCTCCACCATTCCGCAGAGAACTGTGGGCTTAGGCTGTCTCTGCTGCCTGTTGTAGTAGTTCTGTATTTTCGGGAAATGACATGAGGAAATGCTGAAATACGGATAAAAATCTTTACGCTTGACCCTGTTACCCAGCACGGAGACCCTCGGGGGCGGGTGAGGATCCCTGCGTGTCCATGTGATGAGGTGCAGCCCTTAGAGGGGGGCAGAGGGAGAGGGACGCTGGAGGGTCCTGGGGGAACTAAGGCAGAGAAGCGCGGCCCCGGAGCAGGCCAGCGGCATGGCCCGCGGGGGGCAGGGGGCACTCTCTGCGCCCCGCCCCCTGACCTGGGCTGGGCTGGGGGGGGGGGGGGGGCGCGGGGGAGGCGGAGCCACTGGACCCTGGAGACCCAGGATGAGAGGCTACCATGTTCCCCTGGCTTCTGGCCACGCCCTCTTCTCCTGGCTGGCGCGATGGCGGGGACACACAGCGCCCTGACTGCAAAGGGGGGTCTAGGCCCCTGCCGCGCCCCCTGAAGGGGCGCTGAGCTGGGAGGGGGCTGAGAGGAGCTCTGGGGATGGGTCTGCTGGCTTGGGCCTCGCCTGGATCCCCGCACGGGTGAGGCTCCCCACCTGGGTCACCCTTCAGGCCGGCCCGTGACCCCTGCTGGCGCCCATTGGGGGCTCCCCGGGCGCGCCGCGACCCTGGATGGAGGGACAGTGATCCCCGCTGCCCTGCGGCTCCTGACGGACACCTGTGATAAAGGCCAGGGAGTGGGAGGAAGCACATCTGGGCCAGCATGGACTCCCCCTTGCAGCCCCTGGGAGACCCAGGAAAACAGTGGCCGCCAACATGGCCTCGGCCCCTCCTCAATAACATCTTCAACTGCGGACGCTGCGGAGGACGGGGGTCAGCCAGGGCGGGGGTGGCGCCACGCGAGGAGCCGCCACCTCTGAGAGGGGTGGAGAGGTCGGGCAGCGCACGCAGGTGAGAACCCGGAGCCCCCGCCCAGATGGGGTGTCCCTGTATTCCCAGAATGTGTCTTGCAAAAGGGCAACCTCCACCCGCCCGCCAGAGCCCCCCATCTGGTTCCAGAAATGCCCAGTAAGGACAGTCCTCCTGTCAAAGAAGCGCCTTGTAGAGCCCGAATATCCTCCCCACGGCCCACACGGGCTCACACCCCGCACCTGATGCATACGCCCGCGGTGTCAGCCCAGCCTCCGGTAAGCAGCAGGTTGAAATCTAACCCGTCAGCTCCCCCTGATTTGCTGTCCTCCACGGTCCCTACCTGGTGAAGAGGGGAGGCCGCGTGCCCCTCACCTTCCTGTGCTGGGCCTGGCCGCCAGGCCCTGCTGGGTGCTCAGCCTGCTGCCCAGTGAGTATATTCCCCAGAAACCCTAACTCCCCTTCAAGCTTAAGTTTTTTTTAAGATGTGGTTTTATTTATTAATGCGTACAGAACTGGGGTGTAGGCCAGAGTTGGGGGTGAGAGGACTCCCCAGAGTGGGGAGCAAAAAAGGGGATCCATTGAAATACACTGCTGAGGGGAGCAGCGGTCAGAAGGGGGAGGTCAGCTGCACCATGAAGTCAGCTCCCTGGCCGGGGACAGAACTCAGGCCATCGCGGTGGGCGGTTGCAGTGGGAGCGCTGAGGCTTAACCCCTAGGCCACCAAAGAGGCCCGAAACTTGATTTTTTTTTTCCTGTTACTTGATGCTGACATTTGATCTTTTTTTTCATTTAAGATATTTTATTAGTAATGCCAGGAAGCAGAAAGTAAATTATTTTAATAAAAGAAAGACCAAGTACTTGTCACCTCGTCGTGTTGAAGAAATCCTCTAGCCCGGGATGGAGCCAGCCTGCCCAGGGTGTCAGGTCAGTCGGGGTGCTCCTGTTGCCATGAGTCAGCGCTTCACCAGAAGGGCAGCTCGTCCACGCAGCCCTGGCCTGTTTTTATTTCCCTGGTCCTTGATCTTTAAGATAATGTCAGATATTGGGGATCCCGGCCAGTCATGCTCTATGTCAGTACCGCCACTTCCATCTCTCTGTATACTTTGTCTTTGGCCAGTTTCTTAGGAAGTGTGTCCCACCCTCCTCACCTCCAACCCACTGATGGTTTTCCCCTGAGTAGAGGACGCCAAGCCCACTTCCAAGTTGTCTTCATACACGGGTGGGCCACCTCCCAGATGCTGGGCGCCACTGTTTGTTAGCTTCAGAATTTGTCCATCTCATCCAGATGGCTGACCTTGTCTGCATATAGACGTGCGTCGTGATCTCGGATTGTGTGTTTGTGTGACCCAGGATGTGTCTTTTTCCTGACCACAGTTCCTGTCTGCTGTGTCTGTTTTGATTTCTTCTCTTTCATTTTTGGTCCTGTTTATTTTGATTGTTCTCCCTTTTTTCGTTGTGAGTCTTGCTAGAGGTTAGTACATTTTACTTATGTTTTCAGAGAACCAGCTTTTGGTTTCATGGATCTGTTGGACTGTCTTTTATTTCTATTTCAGTTAGTTCTGCTTTATTTTTTGTTATTTCCCTTCTCCTACTGCTTTTTGGGTTTTTTTGTTCTTTTTCTGGTTCTTTGAGATGGGAGATCAGGGGTTTGTTTGTTTGTTTGTTTGTTTGTTTGTTTGTTTGTTTTTCTTGTTTCTTGATGTGGTCCTGAGTTATTCTATACTTTCCTCTTAATACTGCTTTTGCTGTTCCCCAGACCTTCTGAAAAGTTATTTCCTCATTTTCAGTTATTCAAGGCACTTTTTAATTTTTTCTTTGATGTCATCATGAATGCAGTGGTCACTCAGTTGCGTGTTGTTCCATTCCATGTAGAGTGGGGGTTCCATGCTCATTGCATAGTTGACTTCTAGCTTGATGCCATTATGGTCAGAGAACACCCTGGTATGATTTCAGTCTTCATGTGCTTGTTGCTGTTTGTCTTGTGACCCAGTACGTGACTGATCCTAGAGGATGATCCGTGTGCTCTTTGAAAAGTGTCCTCCTGTCCTCCCTTCCTTGCTAGCCCCATGTTCCTTCGCTCCTCCTGCCCCCACTTCTATACTGTCGCCCTTTCTTCCCCCTCCCCCTAACGGTCCTGAGAGTCTCAGACTCAGTGTGTTGTCAAGGGTCCATTTACAGTTTGTCTCTGTCTGATTCTGTGTTTGGTTTGTCTAGACTCCACATGTAAGTGAGACCATCCGGTGTTTATCTTTCTCCTTCTGGCTTACTTTGCTTAGAGTCATCCCTTCAGCTCCATCCATGTTGCTGCAATCGGCTTGAGTTTATCATTTTTCTATCACAGAGTAGTGTCCCGTTGTGTCTACAGGCCCCATCCTGTTCCCCCCATCTGTCCTATGGCATATAGGTTGTTTCCACATCTTGGCTAGTGTAAATAGTGCTGCAGTGAGCATAGGAGCACAGGTTTCCTTTCAGATTAGTGCATTTGTGCTCTTTGGTTTTTTTTTTGTAAGATTTATTTATTTATGCATACAGCAGCTGGGGTGCAGGCCAGAGGTGTGGAAGGCACAGTGACAGTACAAACCAAGACAGAGTGGGGAGCAGAACAGCTGGGTCTACTCAAGTACAATGCTGAGGGGAGTGGAAGGGAGCAGCAGGGAGAGAGGAGAGGTCCGCTGTGCCTAGTGGGTCACCTCCTTGGCCAGGGTGATTTGTGCTGCAATGGCTGCGGACAGCTTCACAGTGCTGAGACTAACCCCTTGCAACACCAGGAAGGCCCCACTTTTGTGCTGTTTGGGTAGATACCGAGGTGTGGAACTGCTTGGTCATGTGGAAGATCCATTTTCAGTCTTTTCAGGCATCTCCACACTTCTTTCCATAGTGGCTAGACTAGTTCACATGCCCACCAACAGCATAAGAGGGTCCTTTTCTCCACATCGTCTGCAGCACTTGTTGTTTGTGTGTTTTTTAACTGTGGGCCATTCTCACAGGTGTGAGGTGGTGTCTCGTGATGGTTTGGTTTGCATTGCCCTGAAGATAAATGAGAAAGAGAATTTTTTCATGTGCCTGTTGGCCATCTGCATGTCTTCTTTAGGGAAGTGAATGTTTAGATCCTTTTTCCATTTTTGATTCGGTTGTTTTCATTTTGGTGATTTGTATAGGTACTTTGTGATCTTTGATATGAATTCTTCATCAGAGGTAGGGTGTGCAGGTGTGTTCTCACATTCAGACGATGTCTCTTTGTTTGGGTCACTGTCTTTTTTGCCGTACAGAAAACTTTTAGTTTAATGTAGTATCCATTGTTTCCTCTCTTCTTCATATGTTTGTGAGATTGATGTTAGGGAGCGTTTTACATAGGTTTTTCTCTATATGTTTGATGGTTTCAGGTCTTATATCCGAGTCTTTTATCCATTTTGAATTGATTTTCATGTGTGCTGTGAGGTTATGATCTAGTTTCATCATTTTACATGTGGCAGTCCACTTTTCCAGCACCCTTTATTGAAGAGGCTTTCCTTGTTCCAGTGTATGGACTTTGCTCCTGTCTTATATGTTAATTGTCCATAAATGTGGTTTTATTTCTGGGCTCTCAATTCTGTTCCATTAGTCTCTGTGTCTGGTTTTGTTCCATTGCCATGCTGCTTTAACTTCTCTGGCTTTAGCATATAGTTGGAAATCAGAAGTGTGATACCTTCATTTCCCCCCTTTGATATCAGGAAAGCTTTGGCTATTTGGGGTCTTTTGTGTTTTCTGATGAACTTCATTAATCTTTGTTCTATTTCTTTGAAGAACGCCATTGGGATTTTTATTGGGATTGCATTGAATCTCTAAATTGCCTTGGGTTGGATGGCCATTTTGACAATGCTGACTCCTCCAACCCATGAGCTGGGTATATCTTTCTGTTTATTTAAAGGAAGAGGGATGGAGTACAGATGATCCAGGGTCTGTGGACCAGGCTAAATTTCAGTCTTTGTCCTTAGAGTAATGTATAGCAACATAATCCTTGTTTTTAGCTTTCACAGCATTTGCAGGATGAAACTAAGAGTTTCTTGTGATTTTTTTTTTTATTATTAATTTTTTTTTTTTTTAAAGATTTATTTATTTATTTATTTATACAAGCACTGGGTACAATCAGAAGCGCGGGAGGGCGAGAGAATTCACCAGAGCCAGAGCTGGGAGCAGAGTACGCAGAAGGACCGAAGTACACTGCTGAGGGGAGCAGTGGGCGGCAGGAGAGGTCTGCGCGCCATGTGGGACCCTCCTTGGCCGGGGATCGAACCGGTGCTGCAGAGGCTGCGGGCAGCTTCGCAACCCAGCGCTCAACCGCTGCGCCACCGGGGAGGCCCTATTATTAATTTTTTTAAGATCTGGACTCAAGCCCATCTCTCTTCTTTCTTTCTTTTCTATTTTTTTTTTTTTTTTTAGACTTATTTATATAAGCACTGGGTACAGTCAGAAGCGCGAGAGGGTGAGAGAATTCACCAGAGCCAGAGCAGGGAGCAGAGCAGGCAGAGGGACCGAAGTACACTGCTGAGGGGAGCAGTGGGTGGCAGGAGGGGTCTGCGCACCATGTGGGACCCTCCTCCTGTGGCCAGGGAGCAGCCGGGATCGAAACAGCACTGCAGAGGCTGCGGGCAGCTTCGCAACCCAGCGCTCAACCACTGCGCCACCAGGGAGGTCCCCTCTTGTGTTTTTTAAATAAGAATGTCTCATCCCATGCTCCCCCCCCCAGAAAACTTTTCCTCATATGAATTACCTCTGCATTCTGCCAGTAACTTTCACATTGTGCACAGGAATATAATAAAAATGAACATACGATTCTGCCTGACAAACATAAAACCAAAAAAAGTATTTGGGGATTGAATTTATTGAATAAATAAGATTAACTGAATGTTGATGGAAGAACAGTTAATAGTTTCTTGAAAAGTATATATTTTTTATATATATGTAAATAAAAGGTCTATTTTCTTCTGAATAACATTGAAAACATATTGATCAAGGTAATATATAAACATAATTAGGAAATTTCTAGAAGAATCCGCGGACCAGCACAGCAGTAGACAATGAGGCCGTCTCAGGGTTGAGAGAAGTGCGCAGGGTGGTCAGGGAGTCGGCGAAAGAAATGACACACAGACACACTTCTAGAGAGTGAAAAATCTGAGTGTAACTTTATTTGAGTTAATGGCCAGTATATATATGTTTTTCTAAAGGCATAGGATCAGTTATCAGTGAACTAAACCAGCTGGCTCATAGGTTTAGCTTATCATTGACAGGGCAGTGATCTACGTCCGAACTTACATCTGGACCTAGTGACATTCCTGAGTAGTCAGGCTAATAATATTTCTTTTGTTCTATGTAATTACTTTTTTGTTTTAATAACTATTCACTACCACTAACTTATTTTACCTTTTATAATGCAATGCTTTTTTATTAACATCAAAGCTATCAAAGCTGAGCACATAACCTAGAAATTACTAACCATTCTACTATTACACAGAGTTTTGTAATGTTTCATTTGAGTTAGTCCAGTTATTAGATTACATGTGTTTTTTAATCAGCAACCAATGACCTTTTTAGACCAGGAAAAAGAAAAGATTTTAGTAAGGAAAAAGAAAAGATTTTAGTAAGACAGTTGCTGTAGAATAAAGTTTGTGGGCCTTGAGAAAGCGAGATAAGGTTCCGTGTGGTCAGCATCCCTTTTAAGTCTGGTAGTTGTTATCTCTTGGCAGGCATTCGGCTTCTCTGCATGTTAGGGAGTTTGCTGTTCTCCCCCTGCGCGCATGGTTCCTTGCCCACGCCGGACCTCAGGGACCATGGCAACAGCCATTAGCCCTGAAGGTCACTGCAGGGTGGAGGTGCAGCATAGTACCATTCAAAATTCACAGTTCTTGAGATCACGGGGTCATATCTTTCTCAGTCTAGTAAAAATATCACAAATTGTGTATATCATTTTGGTAAGGTTTTAAAGAAGTCATCACACAGGCATCATTGAGCAAACCGGAATCTATTCAACAGTACTGAGCAACACATTCTTATTTCTGAAATGCCACATTAGATATATGAAAATTATCAATATTTATATACAAAGAAAAGTGATAGAATTTGTGATTACTGAATAGTCTAAGTCATCAGACTCATCCAGATACTTCTTTTACGTCTGAGAGAAATGTGTACTGTTACGGAGCATCGGATAAAATCCAGCTGTACTTTAATCCCTTTCAGTCTATCCTCACAGAAAATATTGACTCTTTTCCTGCAGACATGCAGCTGTCAACTATCCAGCTATGGGTCTAGATTTGCATTACACTTTTATTTCCTACCTGTTCCTTTTCATCTAAAACACTTGTCCCATGAAACAGCTTTCACTGTCTGAATATGAAGGCAGGAAGTGCGGTGTCATCAAACCTGTTGGATAATGTTCATGGGCACAACAAATAATATCGGCTAAATTTAAGGGGATGTATTTCTGTTTTTAGAAATGGTAAAATCACTACTTATCGCCATGCATTGTTAATGTCATAGTTATCATTCCAGTAAAAATTTCATTTCGTACCAATATGTATGACATTCTGCCCGCCCTCCCCCCCAAGTAAAGTCTTTAACACATTGAAATACCCACAAAGTATGTGCACTTGATTGAAAAGTAGGTGAAGTTACAGAAGCTCCTAGGGAGATATATAGACTGGGATTTCTGGAAATCTTAAAGATTTGTAAGCAATAGCAGAAAGTATATTTATTGTAAAGATTAGTGAAGACCCACAAGATTGTGGTGATCATTAAATCCAAATGCAGCAGTTCAACAGAATAAAAAATTCTTTCTTATGAATTCTTTCTTAGAACAGTTCTCTTGAACCATTTTTTTCCTGCTTGGTCTTGTAAGAATACTAGCAACCTCTGGCTCACAGATCAATTATCCTAGATAATATCATAGTATATTACATCAATTCTTTGTATGTGGACTAAGAGGTCATTGAGAAGAAACATGAGCTTCTTATCATGTCCAGAGGTAACATCTGTCACATTTGTTCACTTTGTATTGGGAAGAATGAGTCACATGATCACTCATAACTGCACAGGAACTGTGAAAGCTACTTTTGCATCACTAATTTCAGGCTATAACTATTATGGAATTGAAAAAGGATTTATAGGTAGCTTCTTGTCTTTAATATAGAGAAATATTGCTATTCAATTGTTCTGAACATAAGAGGGTGTTTTTGTTGCAGGTTTTGTGGGGTTTTTTGGTCTGTTTATATTTTGCCTGCTCAATTGCTCAATTTTCTGGCCAACTAGGTACATATAAAGCCCCAAAATGCAAATTAACTCATATTGGGAACAATAGAATGAAATAAATCTGTAAAAACAAGGTCAGTATATAGAGCTCATCTCACTAAACAGAGGAAAGAATTGAACTCAATATTCTATATCCATGTAGAAAATGCTTGAATTAAGGTGAATGCTTGAATTAATAAGGTGAACAGATTTTTGACTTTGAGATTCATGTAACATTCACAGTGATGATACCCTAAAATGTCATTTATATTTGACTGCATTACAAAGACCCTTTATATTTTTGTGTACAGTGAATAATATTCTCAATTCTGAGTCTTATAGGAACATCCAGGGAAAAGAAATAATGCCCCAGGCAAACATGCATGAACTTAATTAGCATCATAGAGTAAATGCCACATTTGGCCTTACATGGTGGCAGCCCTGTATGAGTCACTGAAATGGCTTTAAAATGGAAATGTTTGCTGATAGCCCCTGACGTATTCATCTTTTTCTCCCAGCAGAAATACTCAGTGAGTACAAAGGAGATTAATTTTTTAAGATTTATTTATTTATTTATACAGGCACTGGGTACAGTCAGAAGCACGAGAGAGTGAGAGAATTCACCAGAACCAGAGCGGGGAGGAGAACAGGCAGGCTGAGGAAGTATACTGCTGAGGGGAGCAGCGGGTGGCAGGAGAGGTCTGCGCACCATGTGGGACCCTTCTGGCAGCCAGGGATCGAACCAGCACTGCGGAGGCTGCGGGCAGCTTCACAACCCAGCACTCAACCGCTGCGCCACCAGGGGAGGCCCACAAAGGAGACTATTTTACAATAATATACACATTCATTTCACAAAGCAAAAGGAAAGTAAGAGGGCTCATTTGCATGTCTGGACCTGGGATTTCTTGCATAGCACTCCAACAATACACAAGAGTCTTGCCAGGTCCACATACCAAAAGCTTTCCCTATGGTCCTTGAGCCCCAGAAAATAGGTGATCTTGGCTCTCTTTTCCTTATATAATAAGTTTCTTCTTTTCTGGATTTATCGGACTGCTTTCTATGGAAATTTTCATCTTTCTCCAATTTCTCTCTCTCTTGTCTATAGGTAGAGTGTACCAATGATGTTCCTGATGCTGGTTTTCATGGAAAGTCTTGTAGAGTTATCCTTTCAGAAGGCTCAGGTAACCGCACCAGGATGAAGTCCAGATCCCAGCACCTCTTAACAAGTTTCTGTCATGGACTGTGCATATGTGGGGATGGACCCAACTTACATTTCTGGAGGACTGTAGTGCAAGGAGGGGATTGATACCGGAATTGTCAGGCCTAGTCTCCCAGCCAGGAACAGATCCCAGGCTGCAGGGCAGCGCTGAGCCCCAGCCACTGGACCCCCACGGGTTGGTGTCTCACGAAGCCGCAGCAGGAACTTCGCAGACGCTCAGGCAAGCAAGCGAGAAGAGGCAGATTTGTTTATAGAAAGAAAAAGTTTATTGAGGAGAAAAAGAGCAGAAATAAAGTGGGACTCCCAGGCCAGGGAACCAGGCCTGGGAGGGGCAAGGAAGCCAAAGTGGAGTCGTGTCTCAGGGAATATATACCTTATTTCCCTCATTATTCTAAAGTTCCACCAGTCTCTTTGTGATTGCTTAGTTCTCGGCTGTCTCACTTAATCTGCTACTGAGTGGGGATCTTTACTTTCCTTATCTAACAGCTTTTTCTTTCCCCATTTGTTGCATCTTTAAATTTATGGCCCAGTCTTCTGGATGGGCATCCCTGCATTGAAGTTAAACAGCTGCCCTTCTAATGTGTCCATAAATTAAACCACTCTCCATTTCTCCAATCTCCGCCTCCCTTTACCACCTGAAGGAAACCAGGACTAGCATTAACAATGTTGTCCTTGGTCTTGGGATGTTTGTTTTTCCTAGTGGAATGAGTTACTTTCCCTTGGTTGTCCTTATCTCTGAAGCCTCCCCAAATTCTTCAGAGGTCCCCTCCTGCACTGTCCCTGAAACTGCCTAACAACCCTAGCTTGCCCTGTCTCAGGATGAAATAACACATTCAGAATAGAGATAAAATATACGGGTCACAAATATCCTAACCTGCAGGATTCTCCTACAGAGACAAGAGAGTAAAAATGTTCTTCCCAAACAAAAGCTGAAGAAGTGGTCCACTAACAAATCTTCCCTGAAAGAAATGTTTAAAAGAGATCCCTTGTATAATTTAAAGAGAAAAGAAAAAAAAAAAGAAAAAAGAAAAAGCTGAGCAGGGAAGTAGAACCAGACAACTAAAGTGAAAGTGGCAGTAGAAGATCCTCTATAGAGCTCAACAATCCAAAGGCAGAGAGAGGCCATCCAAAGGCAGAGAGAGGCCAGCCAAGATTGCACAGTCCCCAGGAGACCCGTCTGAGCCCCCAAAATAAACACAGGCTCCTGGCTCAAGGCTGAATATTACACCAAACCACAGGACAGACACAGGGATGTCAGAGTCTGGGCCAAAGTGTATTGTGCTGCACCATGATGTGCAATGAGAAACATTCTATGTGGAGCCGAGAGCCTTCATTTTTCTCACAATGTATTTTGAATAGCAGCTGCTTTGTAATGTTTGCACTAGGATCCATTTCCAGATCTGCAGGTAAATGATGTTTTAGTCGTGCTTTTATTTAATTTTTTTAAGATTTATTTATTTTTATACAAGAACCAGGGTACAGGCCAGATGCACTGGAGGGTGAGAGGATTCACCAGAGACAGAGCGGGGAACAGAACAGGCAGACTGACGAAATATACACTGCTGAAGGGAGCAGCAGGCAAGACAGGAGAGGTCTGTTGCGCCATGTGGGAGTCTCGCCAGCCGACCAGGATTGAACCGGCGCTGCAGAGGCTGCGGACAGCCTCACAGTGCGGCGCTCAACCACCTGTGCCACCAGGAAGGCCAATTTTTACTTATTTTTTTAAACAGATTTCTTTACTTATGAACATAAGAGCTGGGGTGCAGCCAGAGGTGCGGGGGTGGGGGTAAGGGGATTCACCAGAGACAGAGTGGGGAACAGAACAGGTGGACTGTCTGCAATCCACTGCTGAGGGGAGCAGCGGGGAGACAGGAGAGGTCTGCGGCACCCTGCGGGTCACCTTCCCGGCTGGGGATGTGATGTTGGCACCAGATGACGTGACGAGTCCCTTCATGGTCGCCAAAATGTTGTAGGTTGTAGAGTGTGTGCGGGTCCCGGGGGTCACTCTGGGAAAGGTGCCCCCAGAGCTCCCATTACAGCAGGACACAGCGAGTTCCCCAGCCACGTTTCTCCACGAGACAGAGACACTAGTTACATTAAAGGGCAGATTTAGGGCCTCCCCTGCTGGCACAGCGGTTGAGCGCTGGGCTGAGGGGCTGCCCGCAGCCTCTGCAGCGCCTGTTCGTTCCCTGGCCGCTGGCGAGGGTCCCACAAAAAAACAAAACCAAAAACAGGGCAGGTTTATGAGGGAAAGGGAAAGGGACAGGTTTTGCTGAAAGAGGCCTGCATGGTTGCAGGCGGGCGGCCTTGACAGGTCACGGCAGGCAGGAGGCTGCTGCCCTGCGGAGGGAGAGAGTTGGTGAGAAGAGGCACCTGCATAGTCACGGGTGGGCAGATGGACGGCTGCCCCGAGCCCGTGCAGAGACTGCCCTGATACAGCCCTTTTCTCTTTGGGAGGGTCACTCCTCCGTGGAGTGGCTGCTTGTTGCTGATGTCGGTTAACAGGCAACACTAGAAAGGGACCAGAGATTCCAGGGTGGGCCCAATCTCCATATCCTTCCCCTCAGGCCTGTGCGCCACTCCCTAGCGCATCGGATCCTGCTCACGTCTCCTGCCTTGTGACAAGGCACTGGCGTCTAAGGGTCCAACCTCCACAGCTGGGTTAATGGTCCTGTTATTCCCCTCGACCCCCACCTCCTCGCGTGAGTCAGGTTTTCGTCACGTGAGGCCTCCCTTTCCAGTCTTTCCATTCTTGCCCTCCATCAGATGGAACACGTGCAGCAGAGGCTGCAGATGGCTTCACAGTGCTGTGCTTAATCCCTGCGCCATCAGAGAGGCCCCACGCCTTGCTTTTATGTCAGCTTCAGGTAAGGGGATTTTTAACAACGGTTAAAAAAAATCTTCCCCAGAAATTCAAGCAACCTTGTTTGCTGTTTTAATGACTTGCGGATATTTTAGGGTCTGGCTGCGGCAGACACTGTCGGTGAAAGGCTGGAAGTCCTGGAGCTTGCAACAGACCTGCCTGTGCCTTCTGCCCCAGCCCGCCTGCCCCAGCCCACTGTGACCTGCTGAGACAGGGCAAGCTAGGGTTATTAGGCAGTTTTAGGGACAGTGCAGGAGGGGACCTCTGAGGAATTTAGGGAGGCTTCAGAGATAAGGACAACCAAAGAAATATAACCAATTCCATTAGGAAAAACAAACATGCCAGGACCAAGGACAACATTGTTAATGCTGGTCCTGGTTTCCTTCAGGTGGTAAAGGGAGGCGGAGATTGGAGAAATGGAGAGTGGTTTAATTTATGGTCACATTAGAAGGGCAGCTGTTTAACTTCAATGCAGGGATGCCCATCCAGAAGACTGGGCCATAAATTTAAAGATGCAACAAATGGGGAAAGAGAAAGCTGTTAGATAAGGAACGTGAAGATCCCCCTACTCAGTAGCAAATTAAGTAAGACAGCCGAGAGCTAACCAATCACAAAGAGACTGGGGCAGCTTTAGAATAATGAGGGAAAAAAGGTATATATTCCCTAAGACACGACTCCACTTTGGCTTCCTTGCCCCTCCCAGGCCTGGTTCCCTGGCCTGGGAGTCCCACTTTATTTCTGTTCTTTTTCTCCTCAATAAACTTTTTCTTTTTCTAAACAAACTGCCTCTTCTCGCTTGCTTGCCTGAGCGTCTGCGAAGTTCCTGCTGCGGCTTCGTGAGACACCAACCCGTCGGGGGTCTAGCGGCTGGGGCTCAGCACTGCCCTGCAGCCTGGAATCCGTTCCTGGCTGGGAGACTAGACCTGACAATTCCGGTATCATTGCTCATTAGCTGGAGTTATGTTGGGACAAGGCCTGGGGGTGGACTAAAAGTTTCAGGAAGTGACTGGCCAGGAGCCTGACTTGTGCCCCCCAGATGACCAGGTGAGCTCTTAGAAGTCTCCTGCTTCTCTACTCCCTGCTTGCTTCAAGTTGCAAATGTGCCCCTGCTGGGGCCATGGGTACTCTGTCGCCCAATGGCTCAGGGCTCAGACTTTGGAAAAAGATCACCTCTGGGCCTGCGGGATAAATAAAGATGAAATTTTTCCATAACCTCTCACAATCTAAAAATCAAAAGGTAGAAGGTCCTAACTCTAAATGCAAATAAAGCGAGATGTGTTAAGAATTGTATATAAAACAGGGCCTCCCTTGGTGGTGTAGGCGGTTGAGCACAGCGCTGTGAAGCTGTCTACAGCCTCTGCAGCACCAGTTCGATCCCAGCTGGCCAGAGAAGGTTCCACATATGGCACAGCAGACCTCTCGTGTCATGCCCGCTGCTCCCCTCAGAGTGCATTTCAGTCAGTCAGTCTGCCTGTTCTGTTCCCCACTCTGTCTCTGATGAATCCTCTCACCCCCCACATCTCTGGCCTGTACCCCAGTTCTTGTGTGCATAAATAAGTAAATCTTAAAAGATTATTTATGCACTCAAGAACTGGGTTGTAAGCCAGACATGGGCGTTGTGTTAGAGAGGTTTCACCAGAGACAGAGTTGGGGGCAGAACAGACAAACTGACTGAAACACACTGCTGAGGGGCGCAGCCGGGAGACAGGAGGGGTCTGCGCGTCATGTGGGCTGCTCCAAGGCCGGCGGGATTGACCCGGCGCTGCGGAGGCTGCGGACAGCTCCACAGGCTGCGCCCAACCCACTGCGCCACTGGGGAGGCCCTAAAATACATTTTCAATGGAAATAGTAATTTTAATTTTGGAAATGACCTAAGGAAATGCTTTCAAATTCTGATAAATCTGTATGTGTAACAATGTTCAATAACACTTTATTTACAGTAAAATGATTCAAAACTATCCAAATAAAACCCCCCAATATACACAAAATTAAATGTAAAAGCTAGATACAGTAACACTGAACAGTCTTTAATGGCGTGGAAAGTCCTTATGTTAGTGTTAAATGTTGAAAGTGGAGAATCCTGGCAGTGCTGTGATCCCACCACAGAAGAAACATATTAATGACACACCCTCTCCTTACCCCTCACCAGTGAGGAGAACACAAGGTGAACACCTGCAGGGAGCGCACTGTGACACCACAGGGAGAGTCAACAGTCCAGCCGCATCCAAAATGTGGACTCGTCTTGCCTTCACACTGCTGAGTGACATCCGACACAGAAACAACATGATTAATTTAAATATTAAACATCACACAAAGTTAAAATCACATGTTAATGATACAGACACCCCCGCCCCCCCGCCAGACACCCCGGGCACCCGCCCTGCCCTCCCGCTGCTGGGCCTGGGGCGGGAGGGGGCTCAGCCCGGAAAGCTTACAACGTGTGCCCCAAACGCCCCCTTAACCCTGCGGGAGTAAAAACGGCCCGCGGGACAGAGGGGAGCCCGCCCGGGGGGCGCCCTCTGGGTCCCGAGGAGCCGGAGTGAGCCCGGGGCCACGCGGTTCACGCTCAGGGACGGGCCCGCCCGTGCGCTCCTCCCGGCCCAACATAAGCCCCGGAGCCCCCGCGTCCATCCCTTCCTCGCCGGCCCGAGTTCCCTGCGCGTGGCCCCGTCCCCGCCTCGCCAGCCCCACCGCGGCCCGGCCAGAGAGTCCATGGCCCCGAGAAGGACGCAGCATCCTCGCCCGACGCGGTGAGCGCGGCCGGGAAGCGCCTCCGCTCCCGCCGCCTCCTGAGTCTCCGGGTGCGGGACCCCGCGCTCTGCCCGAGAGGGGAGAGGGGCGCGCTGGGGGGCCCTGTCGGCCTTGGGGAGCCACCGGTGAGCGGAGAGGATGGGGAGAAGGGGGACGCGGAGGGCGGTTGGGGGGCCCTCCCGGCAGCCTCTCTCGCGGCTCCTGCTCCAGCCGCACATCCGGCGCCGGTTCCTTCCGTGTGGGGGCCCCACAGAGGCGGGGTTCAGGCTCCCCCCCAGGGCAGGAAGTGAGTCCAAGGGGTCACCTGCACCTGTGGCCCCGGTCTCGGGGAGGGGGGGGGTCGCGGCCCTTTCGCGCCCACGGAGCCGCGTCCGGGGAGAGCGTCCTGCCCAGCGCGGCCCTCGGCGTCCAGGATCCCGCGCCAGGGCGGGGCTCCGGGGAGGGGCTCCCCTGATTTCCGGGCTCGGGGGCCACGAGCCTCCCAGCCCCCACTATTGGCCCCGGAAAACTGAGCTGAGGGCACGGCTGCACCTTCGTCCCCGAAGCAGCGCCCGCCCGGCCAAGGAGACTGACCCGCCCGCCTCTGGCGCCTCCGCGCCCCAACATGACCTGGTGACTGTGCCGAGAGCCCGCGCGCGCCCGCGGACCTTCCCTGCACCCCTCGCCCCTCCTGCCCGGCCTCCTGAGCCTGGGGGGTCCCGCGCACTTGCTCAGGCTTCGGTCCCACTAGTGGACTCGGTCTGGGCGGCGGCGGCGGCTGCGCTCGTGTCCGTCAGTCCGTCTCGAGGGCGACCCCGGCCCGCCGGTGGCCTCGTCCCGTCAGTGGAGGCCCGCGGGGACCCTGGGGCTCACCGGGGAAGAAGCTTCTCGGCACAGACGCCGCGCTCCCCGCGTGGGCCAGTCCCTGAAGGCGCCGCCCCGTACCCAGGACAGACCCCGCGGCGGGCGCGGGAAGGAGGGGGCGGCGGGGCGAGAGCTCGCTGCGCATCGAGACGGTTCCCGGGCACCCCTGGGCGCTTCTTCCCCCGGCGCCCCCCTATTCTGCCCCCTCGGGGTCCCGCTGGCGGCGAGCCAAGCGTGCGGGGCTGCAGGCGTCGGGGCGCGGGCGGGTCTGTCATCGTCACCCGTGCTCGAACTGGGGAGCCCCCGACGTTTGCGGGGAAATCGCTCGTCCCAGCGGTGGGGAATCGGCCAAGCCCGCGAGGTGACCGGCGAGGGCTGGACGCGCAGCTGGGGCGCGCGAGGGCCGCGTCTGTCGGGCGGAGGGCGCCGAGGGCCGCTGTGTGACTCGGGGTCTGCGCCTCCGCCTCTCTGGTCCTCGCGCGGGCCCCGCCCCCACGGACACGCCCCGCTCCCGGCCCGCCTCGGGCTTCTGGGAGTGGTAGTCTCGGCGGGCGCGGCGCATTCTTGGATGTTGTAGTTCCCGGGCAAGGGCGCCTCCTGGATGCGTCGCCCCCCCACCCCCCGGCCACGCGCCGGGACTGGGGTCTCCGGGCCGAGGAGAAGCGGCCCGAACTCGCCGCGCCACGCGGAGGCCGTCCCTATCCCGCGGCGCGGGACCCGGACGGGGAGGGCGCGGCTGCGCGAGTGCGCGTCTGTTCCCTCGGGGTGCAGAGGCGGGGCGACCCCCAAGCCAGCCCCTTCCTCCCCTCCCCCGCCCGCCCGCCCGTCCGTCAGTCCTCTCCCCGACGCCCGCTGCTTCCCCCGGGAGGAGAGGGGTGCAGCAGGAGGGCGCGGGGGCCCCCACAACGGCCCGCGCCCGCAGCGCCCGGGGCCCTGCGCGATCTGACCCTCGCCCGCGTGGCCGCCGCTACCCGGCGCCGCCCCGCCCGGGCCTGGGCCCCGCTCCCCGCTCCGCTCGCCGCCCCGCACCGCCCCGGCCAGGGCCCCGCCCCGCCCCGGCCAGGGCCCCGCCTCCCTGCGCGCGCCCCCGCTCCGCCAGCTCCCCACGAAGCTGCTGCTCCCGGGACGAAGGGCACCGGCTCGGGTTTCCCTTTTCTGCCCTGCAGGTCCGGAACCGAGACTGCGGCGGAGCCGCCGGGAGCGGGACGGGACGCACGGGCTGCGGCCCCGAGGCGGAGCGACTGGCCGCGCCGGCACCTCCCGCGGGCTGGAGGGTGAAGACAGCGCGGCGGCGGAGTCGGGAAGCCCTGGAGGCGCGGGGGGCGGGGGGGTCGGCCCTCCAGGCTCAGCGGCACCACACACCGAAGGACCCCCCCCCCTTCCAGAAGCCGCCGCCTTCGGGGCGCCCCGCTGCCGCAGCACCGGTGGCCCACTGGGCGCAGGTCCGCCGCGGCCTCCCTCGGAGCCATAATCACAGCAGGACCCCAACATCATCTCACCGGTCACAGCCCCGTGCTGCGCAACTTGTGCAGTCTAAAAATAACCAGCCACCCCTCCCCCGGGCACCGAGCTCCCACCAGGTGCTAAGTCCCCCTCAGAGGCACCGAGTCCCCCCAGAGTCCTCCCAGGGCCCCCCCCAGGCACCATGTCTGTGGTCCCCTGGCCGCCTCTGCCCTATTTCCCCGTAAGTCCGGGTAAGCGAGGGTTCGTGTGAATATTCGCTCATTTGCCTGAATGTGCCCCCCGAGGGGCGGCCCCTGGGGATCCCGTTCATTCTCTGACACCTTACACATGGGGCACCCCGAGGTGCCCACAGACTGGGCACAACGTCAACTGACGAACTGCCCTGTGTCTAGGACAACAGGTCTACACAAAAATCCCACGTTTAAAAAAACGAGATTTTCCAATTATACTGAAAAGTGTAAAGTGTGGTGCATTCCCTAATCCAACATCTTTGAAATTTAAAACATTACCAAGAAAAACAAGAGTTTACTAGGCTTTGTAACAGATAAATGATTTTAAAATAGGTCATGGAAATGTCTGTTTCCAAATTTATTTTGAAATAAATTATAAGATCTGACCTCGCTTCGGTGGTAAATACCTTTGCTTGCGTGTCTAACCAAAATCATCTCCTAAACAACCGCAACGTCATCCCAACAGAATGAATCTCTTCTTATCCCTGTACAATCCATATTCAGGTTCCCTTGTTCCACCCCTAAAAGTTTGAAAAACATGATTTATTTGAAAATAAGTTAAGCACCAGGGATCTGCGGGTGTATATCTGGAGGAGGAGAGTCCAGCCCGGGGAGGCCACTCAGCTCAGCTCAGCTCAGCCAAGGAACCAGGGACTGTTGGACTTTTTGCTTCCGTTCTAACATCACCTGCACTGGCCCTGGCACACAGTAGGTCCTCAGAAAACATCAGGGGAAATGAGGGCCTGAATCTCCCCTGTACTCTGGATGTCACCCGGGCTTCAGCACACAGTGGGCCCTCAGGAAGAATAAGTCCTGGGGTGAAAGGATGCAGGTGAGCATCCACAGCACTAGCCCTGGGGGCCCTCCAAGTCAGAAGGCAAGCGTCCCGGTTCTTAGTAGCCCGCTGGGAGGGCCCCAAGGAGCCGCCCCGCCGGGGAGCCTCCCCAGGACCGTGCGCGCAGCTGCGAGGCTCGGCGTCAGAGGAGGGTCCTGGTACCCCCAGCTGAGCCGAGCCTTGAGGACACCTGCGGGCGCGGAGGGCGGCCCTGTCCCCAGAGGCGCTCGCGCAAAGGTGGCCGCGCAGGCGGAGCGACCCCAGGGGAGGGCCCGAGGCCACCGCCGGCGGCCGCCCAGCAAGAAGCCTGACCTCGGGGCCGCCCCCAGCCCCCAGGCGGGCGCCAGACACCCTCTCCCCAATTCCTGCCGACGGGGAAGGGACTCCCCGCCGCCTCCGCCCCCGCTTCCCAGGTCCGAGGCCATTGGGTCGTGTCCTGCGTCCTCGCGTGGCTCGTGCTGGTGCGCGCCGACCCCACCGCCTCGCCTCGGCCGCGTACCGTCCCGGTCTCGGCGTCTCCCCGGGAGCGCGGCCGCTGGGACCAGCTAGAGCCGCGCGTGAGGCGGAGCCGGGCTGGAGTGGGGGGCGTGGGCGCCCCCTGACGGCCGCGTAGATGGCGCCTGCCCACCCCCCACGCCCACCCGCGAAGGGGGTGGATTTGGCGGCGGCGCCCGGCGCGCGGTTCCGGGAGGCCGGAACAACTGGAATCAACTGGAAATTGCAGATCAACTGGAAATTGCATGCTGCATGGAGACCGCAGTCTCCAAACGGACAAACGGAGAAAATGAACCACACCTTAAAGAAAACCTCGGCGAAACTGTGCCAAGAAACACAGCTTCGTTGGGACCAGGTACTATCCCTTGCCCTCCTTCGCATAAGAGTGGCACCTAGAAGTGGGCTACAATTAAGCCCCTTTGAAATTGTGTTCGGAAGACCCTTCCAGGCCTCAGTTCTAAAAGCCAATCCGGAAATAGCTCAAGATTGCAGGATCACACAATATGTGAAACACATCCAGGAGG